GGATATGTGCTAATTAGAACAACTCAGTATTTTTTTGTATCCTTTAAAAACCTTTAAAATTTTTACCTTTGTCACAAGGTGATGTCAATGAGAATTTGAGGATGGGGATACTGTTTGTGGAAATATAAAATATATAGCTTTTTAAAAAGAAAGCTGAATATTGTTACATGTGCCTATACACACAAGCACATACCTTTAATTATTATATTATTACTATACATAATTATTAAGAAGTTTAATCCAGCAGTTCACACCCAAGAACCTGTCTTACTGGCTTTTGTGTGTGCACCTGTACCCGGGTGACCAAGGGTATTCATGTCCCCACCCTCCCAAAAAAGAAAATAATCTAAATGTTCAAAAGTAAGGTGTTGCCTAATTTAAAATATCATGGTATAATGTGCTGTGCCGTGGTGAAAGGAATGAGGTAGATTTATACAGCTTAGAGAACATACCTTATAAAATCAAATCAGACGTTCTCAGTTTAAATTCTGGCTCTACTGACTCTGCGTGTGATATCTGGGGGCCTTATTTTCCTCATCTAATAAATGAATAAAATACTATTACCAACCTCAAATCTGTATTTTGGAGACTGAAGGAGAATAAATGTAAAAGAACGGATCAGTTTTAGGTACAAGAAAGGTTAGCTATTATGTGAAACAAAACCATAAGTGTATTTACGTACAAGGACACCTGTGAAAACATAGGGAATACACAGAAGGGTATCTGACCGCGGTAGCAGTGATAACCACGGAAAAGGGGAGTGGTCACTGGGGCAGTGCTGGGGGATGCTTTCATGTTCTACTGGTTTTCCAACCAAGGGTATTGTTTATACATTCTGCACTTTTTTTTCCAAATGAAATAATCGGTTGACTGCTGGGTTTCCAGCCTAGTGTGTGTGTGTTTGACCAAAGTTCTTCTTCTCTTGGTTTAGACAGTTGGCAAAGCAGAGCTGACATTCATCTTTCACTCCACTGATCCTTCCACCAAGTAGATCCCTTGAGTTTGTTTACATCGGACCCTTAAATCAGTTTACTAAATTTTTTTTCTTCCTGAAATAGGGAAAGCCAGCAGTGAAATAAATCTACCTTGTTGATATCCTTTTATATTAGAATGGCAGTTTTGAGAAAAATTTGTATGGTTAAGATATAAAGTACCGAGCCCTTCTCACATCACATGCTTGACGTATCATTGCCTGGATCTGTCTTCTAGAAGGGAGTGTTGTTGTCCCCTGTTCTTCAGAAAATACTCTTCTGTAAGGTTCCTTTTTGGGAGATACAATTTGATTATGTTTTCATTATAACCAGTGCACTTGACTTAAAGGAGTGAAGATACTTAAATATAGTCCCGTAAATGCAAAGTGTGGTCTCGGGACCAGCAGCATCGGCATCTCCTGGGAATTTGGTAGAAATGCAAATTCTGGGCCCCACCCAAGATCTAACTAAGTCATGCTCTCTTGGAGTAGGGTCTAGAAATCTGTGGTCAACCAACTGTCCCGGTGATTGTTATGCAAGAGACAGTCTGAGAAGCAATATGAGAAGGCGTGGAAGAGCGTGGCTGCTTCTGGAAGAGCATGGCGAGCTGTTGTGTAACGAGACGGTTGTTACTGTGTGAATCTCCCTATTAAACGGTGTTAGGGGGTTGTTTTCCTCGTATCTGTTATTTCAGACTGAGGCTGCGCGAGGGTGGCCTGCAAAGCAGTATGTTCTGTATCTCCCAAGAACCTATTTGAACCTTAGTAGAGATTTTAACATTTTAATTATCTAATGTCTGCATTTTCACTTTATTACAT